AAAGAGATGTAGACTATTGGTAGGTATCAATGAACTGGTCAGAAAAGTGGCAAATGAATTCAATCCAAAGAAGTATGAAGTAATGCATTTGGGGAGGGCAAACAAGGCAAGGCCATTCATAAGGAATAGGAGGTTATGAGAAGTATGAAGGAATAGAGGAACCTTGAAGTTTATGTCCACAAATCCATTGGTAGATAAGACAGCTAAAGAAGTCATATGGGATATTTTGCTTTGTTGGCTGATGCACAGTCTGTGAGAACAGAAGGTTATGTTGAGATGTATGGAGAGTAATCAGATTGCAGCTTGTGTACTTTGTGTGGTTCAGCTCAGCACATTACAGGAAAGGTTTACCTTGCACTGGAGGGGATATATGCATGATTTACAAGTATATTGCAAGGAATGGAGAATTGCAGCTTTGAGGAAATGTCGGATAGGCTTTGTAACAGAGGATGTTGACAGAATATTCACGTGAGCTTGGTAAAATTATGACAAGCCCAGACAGAGTGCATAAGAAGGACCTATTTCTGTTAGCCAGAGTTCAATAATTGGGGCATAGATTTAGAGTTCTGGTTAGAGGGAATTGAGAAGTAATTTTTCCAGCAGAAGGTGTATAAAATCATGAGTGGCATAGAACGGATGAATACATATAGTCTTTTACCCAGGGATAGGGAATTGAAAGCTCGAGGGCATAAGTTTAAGGTGAGAGAGGAAAGATTTAAGAAAGACCTGAAGGGTCCTTCGCCTACCTCACTAACCTATACCACAATTCCACCCATTTTCACTGCCCCACATTTCTTGTTTCTCTCTGGTATTCAATTTCAAACAGATCTCAGGACCCAATTCCAAGATCACATGAGGCCTCTGACCCCAGACCCTCAATCAGGGGTGCAGTTAGCTCATTTTCCTGGATGGCTGGTTTACAATGCAGATTGATACCAGCAGTGCAGGTTTGGTCCCCATATCAACTGAGATTACCAGAAATCTCCTGCCTTCTCAAACTCATCTGAGGTGTGGTCACACTTAGATTAAACTCTTGACTGGTCTTTTCTCTCTAATGAGAGAGCAGCCCTCTAGGACTATGACAACTTTACCTTAGCTCCTGCATCTGGATCCAGACAATATCATCACCCACATTGGCACACTGGTCTGGCATAAAAGAAGAGTTGTCAAGAAGTCTGTGATTTTTAGTGCAAGTAGAGCGAAACAATAATACCTGCTTAGAGAGCTCACGTAAGAATCTGGGAAACAGAAAATTAGATTCTTATAAATGTGTTTTTTAGTCTGTAATAGTTTTTCTATTACCAGTTAATGTGTAATATGGATTGAGTAAAATATCCTGGAAACAAAGCTTTTTCAGTATTTCAGTACACCTGACAATAAAATCAACCAATTAATCAATCAATCAGTCAATCACTGGTGAAGGACGATCACTCTTCCACTGTGTAAGTATGTCCACAGATATTGTACAGGCTTTTCAGCAGCAATTTCCAGACTCTGGATTTTTTACCCAGAATTCTTCTCCTACTACCTATGTAATCTGCACCGGTAAATATCCAAGCTACAGATTCTAAACCAGGAGCTATTCAAAAATATACATCAGGAAGTAGACATGAGTCTTTGATCATGTACAGGAAGCAAAATAATGAGAGTGAATTAAACATTTGATGTAGAGGGAAAGACAGAAGGAACAAAACAAAGAATGAAATTCTGAAGGAATAATACTTCACACATTGTAAAATTACATTTTCAGTACGAGGAAGTAACTGTTGCTGTTTGACAGATATTATCGCCACTAAAAGTTTAGTGATATCTGCTTGCACTGGTCCTAAGTTTTATACCTTGATGAATCAGTAGGTACAACAACTTATATTTGCAAAGAGTAAATAATGTAATAATGTGGTAGGATTTGCTGAAGTGCCTCACAAGAACTTTATACAGCAAATAAAAGTGAGATAAGGAATATCCTGAAGGAAGAAAGCAAGGAAGAAATTTAAGGAGGATATTCCGGAGTGTGGGCCTATACAAATGAATGGTCAGTGGGCAGTTATGAAGTGGTGCATATTGTGAATGCTCTGATGACCAGCATCAGGTAGAAGTGTGCAGATATCTCAGAGAATTATGGGGATAGAGGAAATTTCAAAGATAGGGAAGAAGAAGGCTATGGAAGGATTTGAAAATAAGGGCTGGAATTTCAAGATCAAGATATTGCTTCACCAAATGCCAATGTACATAGAGATGATAGATGAATATTTCTAAGTTGGGGAAAGGTCAACAGACTTTTAGATCATCTCAAATTTATGAAGGCTGTAATGGGGAAGCCCAGAATGTGTTGAGATATTCATGCCTAAAGATGGTGAAGACATAAATAAAGGTTTCAGCAAAGGTGAACTGAGACAGGGAGTTTTCTAAAAAATATTTCATGGGATCTGGCTATCACTGAAAAGGCCAGAATTTATTGCCCACCATTAATATCCCAAAGGGCAGTTAAGAGTCAGACACATCACTCTAAGCCTGGAGTCACATGTAGGTCAGACCAGGTAAGGATAGCGAATGTATTTCCTTAAAGGGCATGAGTAGACCAGATGGGTTTTTGATAATTGACGGTGGTTACTTGGTTCCAGTCGGCTAGCGTTTTTTCCCAGATTTTTTATTGCTTTCAAATTTCATCATCTGCCAAGATAGGTTTCAAAACTAGGTCCCCAGAACATTAATCTGGAATTATGGATTACTAATCCAGCAACATTGTATTCATGTCATTACCTCCCTTCAATGGAAATAGGTAATCTTACTGATTATGCAAGGTCAGAAGTTCATCTTTGGGCCAAATTTAATACCAAGAGTAGGAACAGGCTGACTTAATCTCAGACTGAAAGTAATGTCTTCAGTCTTCACAAAATGTAATGAGACTTTACTACTGCTTATCCAGTACTACGACTACAATTTCACCCTGTTACATGGATTTCAATGAGGAATATAGCAGCAAAGTAGAGTTTCAGTGTAGCCTTTGGAGGAGCAGCACAGCTTGGATCACAACATCAGGATATTTCTGTTTATTTATTAATAATAATGGTGATACTATTGGCCTCAGCATAAAATCCAGGCCATTCATTAGTTTCTGTGTGGCATATATTTAATGTTTCACTTTAATGGAGTGGGTACATTTTACTATTATCCAGATCTCTCTTTGAGATCAAAATGATTAGTGACTTGGCAGCTGTGATGTGAGATATTTCATATTTCCATGACTGCGTCATAGTCACAAGCTGCTCCCCAGAAAGTGTGTTCATTTGGTAACCTTTAGTATATTGATAGCTCTGTGCTCGGATGTTATTAATTCAAGAGCTGCTCCAGTGCATAAACATCTATTTATAGTGCAATTTTAGGTTAGTACCAAATCAATAGAGGGACAGCAGTGCAAGTAAAGTCTACAGCAGACACCTTGAAGCACTGGAGTAGTATCACCGATGCTGCCTGCGCAAGATCCGATAAATCCACTGGGAAGAAAGATGCACCAACACCAGCGCCCTCAACCAGGCCAACATTCCTAACATCGAGGGACTGACCACCCTTGACTGGCTACAATGGGCTGGGCATATTGTCTGCATGACCAACACGAGACTCCCCAAGCAGGTGCTCTACTCCCAGCTCTGAAAACAGCAGCTGAGGCCCGGGCAGACAGAGCAAGTGCTTTAGTGATACCCTCAAGGCCTCATTGGCAAAGTGCCACATTCCCACAGACACCTGGGAATCAGTGGCCCAAGACCATCTCAGGTGGAGGAGGAGCATCCGGGAAGACATCGAGCACCTTGAGACTTGCCATCGGGGAGAAAATGGAAGCCAGGCGAAAACAGTGAAAGGAATGCACTGGCACACCAATGCTTCACCCACCCCTTCTCGTGGCCACCACCTGCCCCGAGTATAACAGAGCCTGCGGTAGCCGCATTGGTCTGTACAGCTACCTACAATCTCACCCTGAGAGTGGAAGGGAGTCACGCTCATCTGCAAGGGTCTGCCAATGATGATGATGCTTCAATTGTATATAATTCTGGATCTCATCTAGAATACTGCACCTTGGCATAATTGCTCAGTTTTCATTTGGTAAAGGTATCAGGGGATATGGAGCAGAACAGAGTAACTGGAATCAAAACACAGATTATCCATGAGTTAAAGAAATAATCAAATAGGCTTAAGGGACTGAATGGCCTGCTCTTATGTTCCAGATCTAACATAAACACTTTTTGCATTACCACTACAACTGCAAGATACTTATACCTTCCTCAAACATTTTAACACTTTTTTATCCATGTCTATTTAATTATTACAATCAGCAAATAGCAAAAACATGTATTCTACTGATACAACTTAACTGGTTTTCCACTGTTACATAATTCAGCAATATTAAAATAATTAGGACTAGGCTAAGTATTTCTCATGCAAGAACTTCGAGCAATTAGACTTAATGCATTTATCTACACTTTAATATTCTTTTGATAATGGAGGATGATCTCAGTAGGTTAGAATTTATATATATATATGAAAAACACATCAATTATAATGAATATCACCATTAACATGTAATTACATTTGTGTATCTTTGCTGCAGCACTTGCAAATAAACTAAATATGATTCAAAGGATGTTATATGATTTTTAAATGGCAATATGCTTTTGAAACTGAAAAACAGGTAGAATTGCAACATGAAGAAACTATCTTGAGTACATTGAGTTAGTGAAGGGGCTATGCATTTCAAAGAACTACACAATTTTAAGTTTTTAGATAGCATAATTTGGATACGTAATTTATACAATTTAGATGTCCCTTTTTATGATCATTTTCATGTCATGTCTGAGACAAGCACAATATTCAGCAGTATAGGAAAATATTTCATGCGCTTGTCTAATAAAATGTAATATTCACATTGAACTCCTTTGTACCTGAAATTGAATTAGCATTTGGAGAAATACCAGAACTGACCATCACTCTTTTGCACTTTTTGGCAGGTCTCAATTGTTCACCTTCTAAAAACAGTGCGCCTCTTACGTCTGTTGCGACTCTTGCAAAAGCTGGATCGATATTCTCAGCACAGCACTATCGTCCTAACCCTGTTGATGTCCATGTTTGCATTGTTGGCTCACTGGATGGCATGCATCTGGTATGTTATTGGCAAAATTGAAATGGAAGGGAATGATCCACTTACATGGGACATTGGTAAGTCTTCCCATTCCTGCAGTATTTTTATGTGATCATTTAAATCATAATGTAATGTAAATTATTCATATACTATCTTGTGAAAATGCATATATCTCTGTTTGCATTTTGTTAGAACAGTAAGTTAAGGACTTTACACGTTGAGTTTCATTTGAAAGGAGCACAGGTCAGAGATAGAACTACAACAGTAAAATGCTAATTCTGCAGCTTGGCTTCTTTTGAGCATGCCACAATACTGAGAATGTGAAATCAATTAATTTGCCCAATATTTTATCATCTGTTAGAAATAAATAAATTACAATTCAACTGATGTTAACTGTGTCAATGTAAATATTTTCCTTTAGAGCTAATAGCACGGTTAGTAGAAAATTTTATAAAAATCAATATTGAATCCACTTTCCTATTATTTATTTTGATTAGATTTTGTAATTTATTGTGCAAGCATTTTCAAGGAGAACTCCTATTTTGACATAGATCCTATAAACAGCAAAAGTACAATGATTAGTGATGTTGATGTCTGCTCAGTGGGTTTGGATAATATATGACAATACAAACTTGAATATAAATAGCATTAACAAGCTAGTCCAGTGCCAGAAGTAAGGAAACTTCACCTGGTTGCTGTGGGTGCCGATATCCAGTCTCTCTTAGAAGTTTTGTTTGGAGATGTTTTGCAATCAATTGACGCTGAACTGAAAGCTGCAAGCGTCAATGAATGGTAACAAATGAATGGGCTTTTTAAAGGACTCGCTATATTTGTTGTCTATACAGATGTGTCTTGTACATTGTAATGGTTGCTGTGAAATATGAATATTTACTTTGTTTCTTAGAGTCAAGACTTATGCAAGAATTAAATTTGAATGTTATTCTAGATAAGTATCACCATGCTTTTCTCAAAATGTTTCCTTATGGCATGTGAACATCACTGGCAGGAGAAACATTTGTTGCTCTTCCCTATCCTTTGTGTCAATTCTTTGCTTAGTACAGTAGACCAATATAGCAAATCCAACAATATTGTCTACTCTGGAGTACCATAGGGCAGACTCATATAGGGGCCTTGTCAAGGTGGGCTATGGTGAGAAATGTGGCAGATTAGCACAAGGTCCAAACAGTCTTATCCTGTCACTGGGAACAACTCGCTGAATCTTTTAAGCAAGTTCAGGGCATTGAGATGAGATTCTAGCTAGGTAGCTGTGAGTTGCCTGTTGAGGGGATTATTGCTTGTTAATGACTTTATTAATTGCATTCCTCACCTCATTAATATGTAGCTTCACATCCTGCTTCCCACTGGGAGCAAACCATTTGCCAAGAATTCTCGTCATGCAAGTCAGAACTGGTGCTTGCTGAATTCATCTTGCCAACTACTCCAAAGGGCCTCAACTATGGACACCTGGCGCCAACATCTCAGAGCATGCTCCATGGGCAGCATGAATCACATGTCCATGGCAATTGGTGTCTAGAATGTGCTAGTCTTTCAACAGCCTGATCGCACCTCTTTGATCCACTCACAGGATGCTTCTACACTTCAGTGCTATACTTAAGAGTGCAATGATAGCTACCACTGTAATGCTGCAGCAGGGACATAGTGCTGTCAGTGACATGGGCCCAGCTCAGGAACTGGTCCAGGCTACATACCCCAGCTATTCACTTGCGGTCATAACACTCGCTTGCTCTGAACCGACCCGATGCTTACCACATCCCTGTCCTGCCTAGATTTACCTTTTTTGTGCTTTGCTCCCTCAGCCATCGATACCAGGCTCATGAGGTCTGCAAAGCGGTCACCCAGTTTGGTCTCACCAGTGTAAAGGAGAACGACATTCTGAGCAGCAAATAGAGCTGACTGAATTGAAAGGAGTATAACTCTTCACCTGGATGTGTGTCTGGGGTGTTGGGCAGTGAGGAGGGAGGAGGTGAACGGTCAAGTGTTACGTCCTCTGCAATTGCATGTTGAGATGCTATGGGGGAGGAGGTGGTAGGAGTAGTGGAGCACAGGGTATCTTGGAGGGATCAGTTCCTGCAGAATGCTGACTGTGGAGGTGAGGGAAAGATGTATTTCATGGGGGAAACCTGTTTGAGGTGGCAGAAATGGCAGAGGAAGATCCTTTGAATGGGGAGATTGGTAGTGTGGAAAATGAGGACCTGAGGAGGAAGGGAAGGAATGGGGGCAGAATGGTAAAATGGGTTGGTCAGAGCTGAGGGCCCTGTCAATGTAGTGGAGTGAATCCTCAGTTGAGGGGAAGGAATGTCATGTTGGAGGCAGCCAATGGAAAGTGGCACCATTGGAATAGATGTGATGGAGACAGAGAAACTGAGAGAGTGGAATGGAATCCTTTCAGGAAGTAGGGTGTGAGGGAGTGTCGTCAATTCTTCATTTGATGCATTGTTTAGTATATTATCCCTCCTCTCGGTTATGATTGATTCTTTAACCAATATTGGTATACCCCTTGTATTTTATCAATGTCTCTGTCTTTCCAGAAGATTCTATATCCAGTGTTGATCCGTTATCATTGCCGCTCTTTCAGCCAAATTTCCATGGTAGCAACAATATCATGACCAAATCCATTGTGAAACTGGTACAATGAGTGCAACTTAAGAACATAGGAACAGAAGTAGGCTATTCAGCCTGACAAGCAATGTGATCATGGCTGATTAAACAATTCAATGTTTTTTCTTACTCCCTTCCCCATAATCCTGTATACCACTGGTAATCAGAAATCTATCAATTTCTATCTTAACCATGCACAAAGACTGAGCTTCCATAGCCCTTTGCGCGACAGAATACCAAGGATTCACAATCCTTTAATTTAACATATTCTCTTCATCTTGGACCTAAGTGACATCCCTCTTATTTTTAAATTGTGCCCACTACTTCTAGATTCTCCAACTAGGGGACACATCTTATCTATATCTGCCCTGCCTATCTCTTTAAGTATTGTGCAAGTTTCATTGATAATACCTCTTGTTCTTTGAAACTCTAGAGAATCCAGGCTCAGTTTGCCTGATCTCTCTTCATAGGACAGTCCACCATCCCAGGAACAAGTCTAAGGGACCTTTGTTGCACTCCCTTGATGGCAACACTACCTGCCCTGAGATAAGGAGACCAAAGCTGCACACATTCTCAAGGTGTAGTCTAACCAAGTTCCTATACAATTCAAGTAAGACTTCCCTACTCCTATACTCCAATCAAATCATCTTGCATTAAAGAATAATGCTCCATTAATCTTCCTGTTGTTTGCTGCAACTACATGTTAGTCTTCAGTAACTTATCAACAAGAACAACTACACTTAGGTAGATCGACACTTTCCAACCTCCTGTCATTAAGAAATATTCTGCATATCTATTTTTCCTAACAAACTGGAGAACTTCACATTTTGCCACATTATATTCTATCTGCCATGTTCTTGCCCATTCACGAAGCATGTACAAATTCTTCTGAAATTGCGTTACATCTTCCACACAGTGCATATTGCCACTTGGCTTTGTATCATCCACAAATTTGGAATTATTACATCTGGTCCCCACTTCTAAATCATTGAGATATATTTGTGAAAGTTGGGCTCCAAGTATTGATCCTTGCAGTACTTCACCAGATACAATGACCTATCAATGCAAGAATGACCCATTTATTTCTCCTCTCTGTTTTCTGTCTGTTAGCCAATCATTAGTCCATGCCAGTTCATTGCCTTCTATACCCTTTGCTTCAATCCTTCTAACCAGCATTCTTTCGAGGACTTTACCAAAAGCCTTCTGAAAATCTAAGTAGAATACATCCATCAACTCTGATAAAATTACAGAATCTCTACAGTGCAGAAAGAGGCCATTCTGCCTATTGAGTCTGCACCAACCCTCCAAAGAGCATCCCAACCAACCCAGACCCCCCCCCCCCCCCCCCCGAAACCTATAACCCCGCATTTACCATGGCTAACCCACTTAGCCTGCACATCTCTGGACACTCCGGGATAATTTTACCATGGCTAATCCACCTAACCTGCACATCTTTGGGCTGTGGGAGGAGACCAATATTCTTTGCATGATGGACTGGGCTGTGTTCACGACTCTACAGTTTCTTGCGGTCTTGGAAAGTGCAGTGCCATACCATGCTGTGATGCATCCAGACAAGAAGCTTTCTATGGTGCATCTATAAAAATTGCTGAGGGCCCTGTACACATGCCGAATTTCTTTACCCTCCTGAGGAAGTACAGCCATTGTTGTGCTTTCCTGATTATTGCATCAATGTGGATTGACCAGGATTGATTGTTGGTGGTCATCATTCCCAGGAATGTGATGCCCTCAACTATCTGCACCTCAGCACTATTGATGCAGACAGGGCCATGTGCTCAGCTCTGCTTCCCAAAGTCAATGACCAGTTCTTTCTGTTGGCCAGCAACTGGTCACACATAAAAACAGCAACCTTGTGAAGTGAAGTTACCCAAGTCCCAGCCATTGGCTTGGGCTGTCTTGAACCAAATCAGCTCTGATAACATAAGGTGCACATCCTTATTTGGAGGAAGAGTAATCAGGTAATCCCAAATGTGTCCTTGGGAGTGAGCCTATACTGGAAAGACACTGACTTGTCAGATGAGCTAAGAACCAACAAGGACAAGACACCACAGTTTGGTAATGTAAGGAAAAAGGATAAAAATGAAGGATTTTGGTGTTGCATCGGTGAAAACTCTGGAGATCAACCTTCACAAAGTTGTAGACCCCACGCTTGGAAACATGGAGAGGACCCCTGACAAGCGTGACCTTCTATTCTTGGGTATTAGCCTTTATTTTTGTTGCCTGTTCAGGTAACATCATTTGAAAACTGGTGGGTGTGCGCTTGGATTTTAGCCTGGTATGAATCACATGCCTGCTGTTAGCCTTTTATTAAACAAATGGTGTGAATTGTATGCCTGTTTTAACTAAACTAATAAAGTTGTTGGTTAGTTGAAACAGGTTTTACTCTTGTCCACTTTGTGCCGTGCCAATGACTGTTGTCAAGGGCAGTAACCGGGCGACA